CAGGCCACGCCCCTGCCCCGCCCGGCCCTGCTGCCGCACCCTCCCCCGCCTCCCCGCTCTTGCTCCCCCGCACCCCGCGCCCTCGTCACTGCCCTCCTGCCCCCCGCCTGCTTGGCTCCCCGAGGCAGAGCACCGTCCACTACAACGTCAGGGTGGACGGCTCCGACGCGGCGGCCATGGCCGACGTGCTCCAGCGCGTCCAGAGCCCGGCGACGCACGCGGACGATCTGGCCTTCTTCCGGGACGTCGTCGACGACTTCGAGGCGGGTCTGGGCGCGGCGGGGGCCCAGGAGCCCGCGGAGGACACCTCCCACACCACCGTGCCACGGCCAGGGCTGGCCTGGGCCCGACGGCAGCGTGCAGGCCTTCCTTCAGGAGGGAAAACACACACAGACACAATTAATCGTCGATCCCCAGGAAAATATGGGAAAATATGGGAAGTGGGGGGAAGACGAAAATCCAAAAAATATGGAAAAATGTGGGGAATCCTTTTATTTGCGTGTATCTATTAGTGTGTCCCAGGGCACCTTTATTCCTGGCCTCAACCCGGAGGGCGTGCGCGCCCTACCTCGGAGGAGGAAAAGGCACCCAGACCGCTACCTTTCCCTCAGCTTCGCCCTCTCGGGCCTCCCGGTGTTCCCAGCCATGGCCTCTTTGCTGACGGGCCTTCCGCAGGAGGCCCTCGCCGCCACCGCCCCGGATTTCCGCCTCGCAGTTTTCTGGTCGGAGCGCACCCGATGGGAGAGGCGTGGGGAGAGCAGCGGTGTGGTTGATTACCTGTGGGGGATTCTCCCCAAGACCGTGTGCAGGTGCCTTCTGCTCGGCTACACGTGAGAGTGACCCTTCGCCGGAGTGACCTTTGGTGCGGGCCCAACGGGGCCCCCCACAATGAGCGCGATTGCGGTAGCAGCGGCTTGCGCGCCGAGGCTTGGCCATCCCGCGACCCTCGTTAAGCCGCGCGCCAAAGGTCACTCTTGCCCAGGGTCATTCTTGCGTATAGCCCACTTCTGCGCAAGGAGCTCCTCCTCCTCCCTTTCTCCTCCCTCCTTCCCCCTTTCCCCCTTCTCTTCTCCTCCTCCTCCTCCTCGTCCTCCTCCTCCTCCTCCTCATCCTCCTCCTCCTCCTGCTCCTCCTCCTCCTTCTCCTCCTCCTCCCCCTCCCCCCGGTGCCTCCTGCGCAAGGAGCTCCAAGAGATGGAGCAGGCCCTGGGCCACATGGCGGCGACTCGGCGGCTCCTCGAGCGGGAGCAGTCGCTTCGCGCTCTCTCGGGTGCCTCGCGGGAGCGCCGGAGGCTGGAGGAGCTGCGCCGGCAGGAGTTCGCGGGGGGGCTCAGCCCAGAAAGGCCCTGCCTCCTCCCTCCCCGCCTCTATCCCGTTCCTCCCTCCCTCCCTCCCTCCCCTCCCTCCTCCTCCATCCCCCTCCCTCCATCCCCTCCCTCCCTCCCTCCCCCTCCTCCTCCTCCGCCTCCTCCTCCTCCTCCTCCTCCCTCCGCCTCCTCCTCCTCCTCTTCGTCCTCCTCCGCCTCTTCCTCCTCCTCCTTCTCTTTCTTTTTGACGTTGCCCATAATTATAGCGAGGCTTGCAGCGTTCTGGTGGCAACTGATGCCATGACAAAAATACCGACTTAACGCAGTGGTCTGAGCAAATTAGGCGGCAGGCCCGTGCGGATCAGGAATTGTAAAGAGTAAAGCTTCCCCCTCCTCCTCATGCTCCTCCTCCTCCTCCTCCTCCTCCTCCTCCTCCTCCTCCTCCCGACCACGACGGCAGTGAGGCAGATTGCCGAAGGGGTGCCCAGGCCTCGACCCGGAGTTCCTGCGAGCGGCCCACGCTCGAGCTCGAGCGCCAGCCCCGCCCCCGGGCCGCGGAAGCCGCACCCCCAGCCCCTGTCCCGGCACCCACCCTGCCAGGGATTCCCCGGTGCATTTCGGGGGCGGAAAAGAGGGGGGTGATGACTAGGGGGGGGTGGATATCATGGCGGGGGCCATGATATTTCCCCAGATTTCATGGCGCCTCTTCTTATTTCATTACGTCCCTGGCCCCCCCGCTGGGCCGCGCACATGCCGCCGGTCATGATTTGCGCACCCCCCTCTTGGACACCCCCCTCTTGGCCGCTCCCGTGCATTGCCCTCCGGGTCCGGGGCTGCCACTTCGATCGACACGGGCCAGGCGGAGCTCGCATCCGCAACCGCAGAGGTTGGTGCCGGCGTTTCGCCAGGCACCCGTATTCCACATTCCTCCTCCTCCTTTCCTCTTCCTCCTCCTCCTCTTCTTTCTCTTCCTCCTACTCCTGCGCGTCCGTCCGTAGCCTCTTTGGCCCAATCGGATCAATCATCAGACTGCCCGCGCCCACTTCGTAGAGAGCTTTCCCGCGGAGCTCGGCACGTAGCCGGAATGGGTGACGACGATCAGAAGAAGAAGCGCACCTTCAAGAAGTATTCTTTCCGTGGCATCGACCTCGACAAGCTCCTGGATCTCAGCAACCAGGAGCTCATGGAGCTCTTCCGCGCCCGCCAGCGCCGCAAGTTCAGCCGAGGCATCAAGCGGAAGCCAATCGCCCTCCTCAAGAAGTTGCGGAAGGCGAAGCGCGAGACCGCCTACGGCGAGAAGCCAGAGGCCGTCAAGACCCACCTGCGCAACATGGTGATCGTGCCCGAGATGATCGGCAGTGTGGTGGGTGTCTACAACGGCAAGCAGTACATCAACGTGGAGGTCAAGCCAGAGGCAATCGGCCACTATCCAGCTGCCTGCGGCAAGCCCCGCCACCGTGCCAGCTCGCCAATCTAGGTGGCGACTGTTCAAAGGGACACGGGAGGCCGTCACGTGTGACACCTCGTATTTCCAGGTCTGGTAGAGACGCGGTGATGTGGATGATGTTGATGTTGATGCTGATGATGCTGATGATGCTGATGATGCTGATGATGCTGATGCTTCTGCTGTTGATGATGATGATGATACTGATGATGATGTTTATGCTGATGCTTATGCTAATGCTAAAGTGTTTGTATGCCGACGTTGATGATGATGATGATTATTCATAGTATGATGATGCTGCTGATGATGGTGATGGTGATGGTGATGATGGTGGTGGTGATGATGATGATGACGATGATGATAATGATGATGATGACGATGATGATGATAATAACATTAATGATGATGATGCTGATGATGATGCTGCTGCTGATGGTGATGATGGTGATGATGGTGATGATGATGATGATGACGATGATGATGATGATGATGATGATGATGATGATGATGATGATGATGATGATGATGATGATGATGATGATGAGTTGTATGACGAGGATGATAGGATCCATGCAGCACTACGCAAGAAGCGGAGGCTCATTAAAATACAGAAACCCCGTATAGCAGCATCTTGGATTCTAACGCCCACGTCGTGCAGGCACGGTGGCGGATCTGGGGGAGTTCTCCATCACGTACAAGCCCACCAAGCACGGCCGCGCGGGCATGGGGGGCAAAATGAGCTTCATCCCGCTGAAGTGAGCGCGCGGCGCCAGGTCACGTCCGAGCGCAGGACATCCGTCTCTCGCGGCGGGCCGAGCTTCTCCCGCGCTCCTTCTGCCGCCTCGCCGATCCTCGTTCCTCCGCGTCCTCTCGCGGGCCAGACACGCATCCCAGGGCCCCAGGTTTTCAGGGGAGGGAGGGTGTGGTCAGGGATGACTCCTGATGCGGCCTCTCGCGTTCGCGCTTGAGTTTCCCCCAGATCGCACTCGACTCGGATTTTCCGTATCACGCTCTGCCCCATGCGTAGATAGGGACCCTCCCGAAACAGGAGTTATTCCGGATCAAGCCGTTGCAGGGTTTCCCCGCATCACGCGTGGGGACACCAGACAGGGCCTTACCCAGACCAGGGCCATCCCGGACAGTCCGGGTGCCAGAATGTACACGTCTACGGCCTCGCGGGCATGACTCCTTGGCCGCGGCCCCAGGGATCAGGGCAGCCTTGCGCGGGTGTTTGGCGCGGAGCGTACTCATGGGATCGCGCGCCTGTGGCATCGCATTTCGGTGCTCGCACCGCGAGTGCACGGCTACGGTGACCTTGCTTGTCGCTCGTGGCCTTCCCTCTCGCCTCACCAATCGGTCCTGCTCCTCGGGCCTTCGGTGGCCCGCTGGCGGTCACCCAGGCAAACGAAGGTGACACGCCTGGTGCCGCTACAGAGCTCAGTCCCGTCGCCTCTGCGTGAGCACATCCTCATAGCCATCAGCGTCCCAACTGATGGGAAGGGGGCTCCACCGTGCCAGAACCGCAAGTCTCCGAATGCTTCCCGACGTCTCCTCGGTGGCTCCCCCCTACGGGGCCCCCTGCCCCCCCTACGCCCCCCCTCGCCCTGCGCCTTCCCCTCCCTGCGCCCTCCCCTTCCCTGACCTCCACACGCCAACTTCGACCAAGGCCACTGAGGGCTCCGGCCCACCACCCGCGCTGGACCCATAGAGGCCCCGCCCCTCGGCAGACGCCGGCGCGCTCGCTCGCTCGGGGCTCAAAGAGGCACGGAAGTTGCCCAAGCCGCGCAGACGCCTGGGCCCTCGACCAGCCTCCCTCGCCCCGCGCCTCCTCGGGCCGAGGACGCCCAATTTGCTCGGGGGTGTCATCACTTCCGGGCCCTGGCGGGATCCGCATCCCCGCCCGCATGACAACAGGCCCTCCTGATGGGTGCCACCACCAGCTCCCTGTTTCGGACTCGCGAGTCTCTTCCCCTCTGAGCTGTCGTAATTCAGTTCAGCAGCAGGCGAGCCTGTCCAGAGGACCAAAACAGCGGCATACACGTAAGCTTTCCGAGGTCCGCGCGGATGTATTGCATCGGCGCTGCGCCCCCCCACTTGGCGCACGGAGCGCGCCAGGGGCAGCGCCAGAGGCGCCGCCAGGGGGGCCCGATCGCGGATCCAAGAACTCCGCGCGGAGCTCCGAAAGTTTCTGCTGATGCCGCTTTGTGCTCCTCCAAGACGGGCGAGCCTGGTACATCGGAGCAGTTGATG